CTAATCCCTGTTTTCTTTGAAGAGGCGCATCCTTGGTGACTGAAGGCATTCGCTTTCCAGAGATATGCTTGAAAAGATCATGCTTAAATGTCCCAATGGTCCTGAGATCAGAGAATTCAACACAGAACCCTGCATTGCCAAGTGGCAAGAGATGTGTCTCACAAATAGACATCCTCCATGTGGCAAGAGATGTGTCTCACAACTAGACATCCTCCATGCGGCAAGAGATGTGTCTCACAAATAGACGTCCTGATAATTCAGCACTATTCCCTGAAATCATCTTCTCTGGTAATACTTTTAAAATCACCTGTGTTTTCCCATAAGGGACAAACTGTAAGCCAGTCTTTTTCTATATTGTGTGTGCCAACATATTTTCAATATTCTGATCATCAAGTGATTTACTTAGTTTTCATTCATGATTTTACCAATTTTCCGATAACTCTATACTTTTGTAGAGAGCAAGAATAAATTGTATTGTTATTTATATAAACGTTGTGGTGCACGATCCAGTATGACCAACTTTAATCAACAAAATGATCACCTATAATTTTTTGCCTCGGTGCCCTCTGATTTTTTGGCCCCACCGAGGCAATTTTTGCCTGCCCTCCTGAACACCTAATTCATGGTCTGCTGTTATAACGAGAGGGTGGGGACCGGAGCAAAATGTCCGTTATAGCAGGATTCTCGCTATAAGGGATTCAGTAATAAGTTAAAGGGAAACTGTAAAGGAGGTTTTGCATTATGTATAACTGGTCTATGCACTGTGCACAGCAGCAGCAATATTCCGCTATAACGGACTGGCATGTTTGTCTGATACCGCTATTGCAGTATTTTATTTGCTAAGGTAAAGAAGAGAAAAAAAACGGGGTTTTAGAATAGTGTCTTCATAACAGACTTCTGTTTTTTTCCGGACTCGTTATAAGTGGACTCCACTGTATAGCAATATGTTGATAGAGGTAACTTAATCTAAAACACTGGAATTTCTTGTGCCCCGTTTTAAGCATCGAGAAGATCGTTTGTAGCCACACAGAGTGTAAAAACGTGAAAAGTAAAAAAAGGTTTCACAACAAAATGAAATCAAAATTAGAACAGCAAATTAATAAACAATCACAAAAATGAGCAAATAAGGGCGTGTGTCAACCCATCCATAGGTTGGCCGTTTTAACTTTAACCCTAAACCTGTGAAATTCAAGAAAAAGTACAGGATACAACATGTAAATGATGGAATCACACACAAGGGGCCTGCCAGTGTCAGTATTCCGTTTTGGTGAAGGCACGCTCGAACATAACAAGTTTTTTTTAAAGTAAGAAGAACCTTAGGCTATACTATATATGAACTCGGATTCAACGAGCTCGGATTCAACGACAACTCGGATTCAATGATGAGAAAGATTCCCCGTTTTTTTTCCTTCTTTAAAATCAATTTAAAAAATAAATAACCCGGATTCAACGAGCACTTAAATCAGCGAGCTCAGATTCAACGAGGTCGCTGCCAGGGTGAACAGCCCCCGCAGACGTGGCTTCGCTCATTTTTCTCCCAGAACGAACTTTATCTTTTTTCGTTTTTGTAAGCGTTTTACCGCGCTTGCAACTGCATAAGGTCATATGAGCGCGAACTTTATCTATTCCCGGAAACCATCCATTGCACCTGCATCGTGAACCATTATTCACGTAACCGATTGCATGCGACCAATCAGCGGTCTTCTTTAATACTAACACACGCGTTGTTGGCACATGCACGTGTCTACTTTGGCATGTGTCGGGGTCGGATGGGCGGCCTGCACACATGTGACTGTGTGTATCGGGGAGGGAGGGGGGGGGGGGAGGCACTAGCGGTCCGGGCGTTGAACGTCGCAGATACAAACGCATCAGTCTTTTTTCCCCTCGGCAACTGATCATTATGACAATGATAAGCTAGTCTTGAGGTAGATCTACGTAATGAATTGTGCGCTGGACTGTGGAATCAAAAGTTGCCGTATGCTAGGCTCTACACAGCAACACAACTTTTTGGTAAACAATCGATATGACACAGGCGTGTGCATTTGAACGAATCGGTCTTTTATTTTACACAGCTCATACTATGCAGGCATTTCAGACACTTCTTGTGACTTCTCTTTATACATTACTCTCTCCGTGCCTGTAATTATCTACACAAAACCTCGTGTTTGCTATAACGAGCACTCGGATTCAACGAGATTTTAGGTCCGGCCCGGCGACCACGTTGAATCCGAGTTCCACTGTATATATACACTAGAGCTGCTCGATTAACCGAAGTCTTGCGGGCAGCGGACGGCTTGCGCCAGAGGCTTGCGCCAGACTTGTGCTTTGCTTTGCCTCCCGCTCGCTAACGGGGGAACTTCCGGTGTGTTGTGACTCGCGGACAGTCTTACTGGGCGTACTCTAAAAGCTATAACCGGAACTTATACATTATACAACACAAAATGTTCATAATCGTACATGATGCATGTGTCTACATACACGGCGGGAATCGGGCACCTAGTCTCAGTATCTACGTACACGGTAACCAGAATGAAAATAAATCAATTTTAATTTTTGTCCTATGCTGTCACTTGTTGTAAAAAAAAGAAAGTCATACATGTGCAAGCGTCTTGTCGGGCTCGCCATCGTCACCGGTCAGTGAACCTGTGCTTTCGCATCACATTGTGAGTACCGGTTGGGGTCACCAAGGTTCATTCAAAGTCTCTGCGCTACAAAGTATAGGGCTCCGGAATGGGGGGATTATTGATTTTTTTTAAAGGTACAGTCGGGAGAGGGCTAGGGTTGAAGGCAACACCGGATGATAAAAACTGAACATGGAGTTCTGCACTGCCCGGTTACCGTATACGTAGACACTGAGGCTAGGTGCCCGGTAACCGTGTACGTAGACACTGAGGCTAGGTGCCCGGTAACCGTGTACGTAGACACTCCGTTGTAAAATGCCTTGGGCTGCGTTCACACGGGAGTGGGCGCTATAGAAATGATCTACATTATTACATGTATTACTATTGTTTATAAATTGAAAAAAAATGTTCTGTATTTTATGATTTGACTTAGAATCTAGATTTCTAGTGTTAAAACAATACCATACTGGTTTTAAAAAAGAAAATATCTGAAATAGATCCAAACACAGATTACCGGTGTATCGAAGGTTTCAAGAGAAAAATAGAACAGGGTCTGAATTAATTGATTGAAGCTTAAGCTAATTTTGCATTTAGAGGTTGTTTCGAAAATCTCCCACAAAAATGTTGATTTTATAGACTACCTGATACTACACTTTTACTTTTAGATCTTTGCAAGAACCAAGTACCCGGTATGTACTAAATTTGGTCAGATTTTATGCTTTCATTTAAAAGTTATTACGAAAACCGAGGGTTCCGTTATTTTGTGTCACGCGGTATTATATTATATTTGGTCGATAACTTTACTGTTAACGCACTCGAGTGTTGTTACTAGTATATTCTGTTAATAAAAGTTGTGTTGTGGGTCATGATTTTTTTAAAAGGCTGTTCTGCTTTTATGCTACCGGAACTCAAATTGTCATGTTTTTTAAACTAAAAATGTTAAGCCCGTATTAATGCACCAGGGATGGGAAGGTTGCAATTTTTTGCAATTTTTAGGCTGTTTTCCTTGCAATTTTTTGCAATTTTTAGGCTCTTTACCTTGCAATTTTTTGCAATTTTTCTGTTTCAAAAATGCAATTTTCCGCGGGGCCAGACATAAGGATTGCTACCTTAATATGTTTTTGTCTTTTCTGACAATTTAAACATTATTACGGCTTTGGCGACTCTGAGTATTGTCAAAACTGTCGTGAAAATCGTGAGTAGTGTTTTTCACAACTGCTGTTTCCTCTAGCTAATCTAGGTAAACAATCACTTTTGTTACTCACGCACACATGTGTCCGCCCAGTGAACAAGAGACCGGTGCTGTCATCTGTCAGTCATTATCAAGAGTCATAGGCGTCCACTCTTTTTTTAAAAATCCGATTGTTAACTTGCTGAATATCATATATTGTGATTGATTAAAGATGAAGTCTAAGTTAAAACTGAAATTCTTTACTCACAAGAACATTGCTCTGAAAGTATATAACTATTTCACTTGTGAGAAAAATGGCGGTAGTCTAAATCGTTTAATTTCTGATCCATTTAGCAGAACTAAACATTTGCTTGAATTGAGTGACATGACTTTGAACAGATGGATTTCGGAGGAAAATGCAACCGAAGACGTCGAGGTGACTAAGAGAGGCCGACCTGGTAAATGTGATACCTTTGACAGAGATCTCGT